GCTGCCTTGCTCTGCCTGCCTTGTAAACAGCTGGCAGTTTGAGAAGCCTTTTTCCTAAAGAAGCGCCTGCCTGATCTGCAGGGAATCCCCCCTCTGAGGCCTCTGGAAAGCCCTTGGCTTCGGGCACCGCCCCACCCCAAGCGCCAAGACACATCTTGCCCTGGCTCGTGAATGAGGCTAGGGAAACGGAGCATCCGGCCTTCGCCACCCTGGCGATTCACAGCCTGGCGCTTCGCCGTGGACGGTGCCACCGAGGCCCTCCCAGAAATGGGCGCTGCTCCTTGGGGACTGGTGCTGGATCGGGGGACCCTCTGGAGCGAGACTTGCTGCCCTGCTCTTTGCCATGGGTGGGGTTCAACTTTTGGGAAGCCCAGGGGGGTGAGGAAGCAGACCCCAGCCCGCTTTACAAAGTGCGCCCTGCGGCTTCGGTTCTTCTCCTTAAGAAGGAATCCCGAGGAACAGAAAGGATCAGGCTGTCCCAAAGCTGGAATGTGTGGTAACTCAGGTGGCTTTCCCCAGGCTGGCACCTGCAGATGTGCCAGGGTTCCAGAATCCTCACCTTTTGGCCCCTTCCTCCCACTTCGATGTCCGAGCAGGCGGCCGGAGGTGCAGGGCTGCGGCTGGAAAGTGCAGAAGCATTTCGCCCTGCCTTCTGCAAGGAGGGGCTGTGGGATCCCTCCCCGAGAACCTGCCTGACTTCGGGAGAAAAAGGCACAGCATCCTCCTTTGCATGCAGGGCAGCCGAGCAAGGATGGCCCTCGCTCTCCAGGGAAAAGGATGGGCGAAGGGGAAGGCGAACCCACGAGTGGCCTGCCACCATCCACCCCAGGGACGCCCAGAAAGGATTGGACTGTCCCACCTGCCCGGAATTTTCCTCCAGAGCACCAGCAGGGTTATGGCTGGGTTGCCCACCGTTCCCTCGGCTAGGGGGAAACTGCTCTTCTCTCCCAGAGGAAGGGGGAAATGATGCGGCTTCAAAACTCGACTTTCTGGCTAAGATGCTAAACCACTGTTTCTCAACCTTAGCAACATTAAGACGAGTGGACATCCACTCATTTTAAAGTGGCCAAGGTTGAGAAACACTGTGCTAAACACTTGCCTGGGTAAGCATGCAGCTTTTTCTAATCCGGTTCGAAACTGTCCAAAACTGTGAACTTCTTTCAAAACAGAGGAAGGATTTGTATTTGCAAGCGATTGTGCCTTTAAAAGAAAAGAAAACAATGCAGCTAATCCTTGCAAGGTTACCCTCACCATTGCAATTTAAAGCGGACTGTAAGTAAAATGAAAACTGGGGTATATGATTTCCCCACCTGAAAGCAGAAAGCTCTGCATCCTAGTTTTCATTTTGTCTCTGTTCTGTGCATTTGGATAGTTGTAACAAAGGAGCGTGCTGGCTTTTCTTTAGGCCTGCCTCACAGGGCTGTGTGTTGAATTTCTCCCTGGCTCTTGCATCTGAAATGCCCCAGAGTCCGCACTGCTCAGGACCTTTAAGGGCCCCATCTTCATCTCTCCCACCAGGACCCGTCACCGCTTTGCCCATCTTGGGCAGCTCCGTGGGCATCCTTGCTTCTCCCCATCAGCCCCCTGGGTTGGGTGGGCCAGAGACCCACTCCTTGCGGCAGCAGCCCCCCACAGCCTGGGATGGAGGCTGCTGTGCGCAGCCGTCCTGCACTGCCAGCAGCACCACAGGGAGGAATCAGGATTGTGCTGAGTGACGGCCCTCTGCTTGCACACCTGTGCAAATGTGCCACGCTCACTTGCCAAGGTCTCTGATTCTACGCCCGATGGGTGCAGCTCTGCGGGGTCTTTGGAGGGAGTTGGCAGCCAAGGCAGGCCAGCTCGGCGTGTGACAGCCCTCTAGCTTGGCCTTCCAGCCATGACGTTTTGTCTCTCAAGCTCCGTCGTTCCTGCTCGTGAGATGGGAGATGCGCGTGACCGAACTGACGCCAGAGACAGCGTTTCTCCACCTCAGCAACTCTAAGACGGGTGGACTTCAGCTCCCAGAATTCCCCAGCTGAACGTGAAACGTAGCTTCCTCCTGCCAACCTTACTATCGTCATTCCCAGAAAACTCCAACCTGTGATGAGGGCTTGAGATCTCTGCCCTCTGATGCGGGTCTTGTTATGTGACTCCCACCGTGCGACTGGTAACATGCAATAGTGTTCAACCCTTGGCAGGCTTGAGATTTTACTCCTGAGGCCAAGGGCGACCAAGAAAGGCCGACAGGATTAGAGGGTTTAAAACGTCAAGCTGAGAACTTGCATTTCAGGTCCCCTGAACGCCTGCAATCTTTGATGGGCAGAAATGTAGCCAATAGGCAGTGTTTGTGGCTCTCGCTTTGAACCCAAAGATTCTCTGTGCGAAGCAGGGAACAACGCGCCTGCAGGAGGCTCTCCGCCTTCTCCCCTTGCACCCAGGAACAGAAGAAACCACCCCCAAAGCCCCGCACGCTGCCCACCTCCTCGTGTCCTTCCCCTGAGGCTCCTTTCCCCGCGCACGGCCGGTTTCCCTCTGGCACCGTCCCAGCAGGACCCCTGACCTCGCCCTTCCAAGAGTGTGCAACTCCCACCCCTCCCGGAGAGGCCCCGGATGAAGGAGGCTGAGATGGGGAGCGACTGGGAGCTGCCCAGCGGCATCAGGCAGGCTGGCAAGAGGAACCCCTGGCTTGGGTCATCCTGTATGCTGGAGAGGGAGCGCAGCGCAGGGCAGGATGCGTGCCCTGCCTGGAGAGGGTTCCAGCGCGTCTCTTTACAAAGGATGTGAATGAACTGTCCTGACCCCCTGCCCCCCCCGGAGCCTTTGCTAGCGTGAGCAGAAGCAAAACCGGGCTGCGAGAACAGGAGGTCTCAGGGTCAGGCAGCCGAGGGGGTCCAGACTGACCTCTTGGCCAAGCCAGGCCTGCGAAGGGGGAAAGGACCCATCAGCTACATGGGGGGACCGACACAGGAGCCCGTGAACACGCCTCCCTTTCCCCCACAAGAGCCCGTCCTGAATCCTAAAGGCTTCACGGAGGGATGGGCTTTCTCCGTCTTTCTCCGTCTCACCCCCTCCTTCGTGCAGAGCGCGTGACTGTGAGCTTGCCGGGCTCTTGAAAAGGCGGCCCGCTGCTGGCCGCTACTCACGAGGAAAGGACAAAAGCAGAACCGAGGAACTTACCCACCTCTGCAGCGCATCCTCCGTGAGCAATGCAGCAAACGCTGAGGCTCCTTAGACTGATTCTGGCCGTGCCTCCCCTTCCACCCCGAATGAGCAGCAACGAGGGGGCCCCTTCGAAAGAGGAAGCCGAGCCTCCTGCTCCCTCCCCTTCTGCCTCCGGTCAGCAGCAAACCAAGCTGACGGCAACCCTTTTTCTAAGGATGAATAAGTTCTGCAGTGCCTCTCCGGCTGGCCCCTCGGAAGGCACATTTCACAGAAGCTGCAGAGCCAGCATGAAAATGGCAATTCCAAGAGAGTAATTAGCGGCTCCCCTAACAAACAAACAAACGCCAGCAATGCAGGGAAGCCAGAAGCTGTTGGATGTAGAGCAAGGTAGACAAAAGCAGCAAGCCTGTACGGAGCGAGGGACTCGTAATGGCCTAGCAAACGGCAGTTCATTCCGGGTATTTTTCTCCCCACAGCCCTTGCTTGGAATTGGCTTCATGGTGTTATCAGAGGATAAATCCTGCTTAGCTATGAAACACCCTGACATCTTTATGCTGGAAATTTTATCCAGCTGCCTGGGACTATGAAGCAAGCAACACACCACCATGATTCATATTCCTTTCCCTTGAGAAAAAACAACGCTGAATATGTTTTTAAGGGGGGGGGGAGCAAAAGAGTTAAAAAAGGTCCTTGAACTTCACCCAACTGAGCATCTTTCTGCATCCTCGAAAACATAGACTGCTCAGGCTACTTCACCCACCAACAAATCTGCATTTTAAAAAAAGAATATAAATCTGACCCCAAAGGGACATATTAAATATGTACTTGAATATATATTTTAGTCATACAAAACCTGAAGGATGGCTAGGTTCTGGCCAGCCTTTTAGTCTGGGAAGAATGGATCAAGTCGTTCAGTATCGGAATGCAAAAAGATCAAATTCTTCCAGTGTTCACACAGCACCCTTAACTCATTCAGGTAAAGACCTGGCAAACACCTTTGTTTGGATCTTCTTTTGCTGAACCCGTGGTACAAACTCAGCTGGCTGGGGTCAGTTTATGTTCAGCGGAACTTAGTTAAACAAACTGCAAATGCAGACATTTAATACCCAAAGTGACCAGCTTTGCTGGTAAATGTGCAGAACAGGGCTCAGCTGTGTACAAAGCCCATATTTATTGCCTGTTGCATCGTCAACCTCTGCTTTGAGCATCCTGTAACCGACTTGAATTTTTAAATCAAGGATTACACAGAGGGTCAGAGCATTTAATCGGCAGACTAGTTGACTAAAACGTCTGGTTTGAATAACTGGGAGGTACGGTTTTAATCGGCAGGACTGCATCTTAAAGAGCAGGCTGAGTTCAGGGGTGTCGCACTCCAGAAGGGATCTGTAAGGAATGAGAACACCCAAGGAGCACCGAGACAAGAGACGCCCTGCCTTTCTTCCCCCTCCTTCCATGAGGCAGCCATGTCAAGGGGTCAGCAATATGCAAACTGAGTTTGATCAATGCATCAGGGGTAATTACGCTCCTGAACACTGATGGATCGCCTCTACAAAGAATCATCCAATCTAGGGGATGTCCTCTTCGGTAGGTGGGTGCGTGTCTTCTACGCATCCAGAATCTGTTGGCTCCGTCACTTCAAGCGCTTAGACTATGCAAAAACACACCGTATCATTTTGCGACATTAAAATTAAAACGTTTTCCAGCCTTTTCCGCTGGAACCCTTCGGCATCCCTCGCGTGGTGGCCCCCTCTGCCTCCAAGCTGCCTGTTCCCCTCCAGGCCCACTGGGTCTGAGATCCCCGCTAGGATCTGCCCCCCCCCAGGAAAAACATAATCAGACGGGCTGCAGTTCACACACAAAAGATTTAATCACCTCCAAAAAGCAGCCGCACCCTGTGATGGAGGAACTGGGAACTGGGTGGTGCTGGGAAGAACTGGGGATGGACAAGGGGAGGGAAAGGGGGTGGGTGGGGAGACTGGTCAGACTGTGAATGGAAAGCTGGCGTTCGGGGCTTGAACACTGGGGCAGGGGGAACGACCTTTAAAAACCTCAGGATTCGGTATGGGAAGCAGGGCTGATGGGGCAAAAGTGGGTGTCCTTTAGGGGTCAAAGGGAAGTGGAAGTGGGAGACGGAAGAAGGGAAGGGGGTCCTGTTGTGCTGGGGAACGGTCTGGGAGAAGGTGCGTTTCAAAGGCTTGATGGGGAGGGCAGGTGGGCCCAGCATGATCCGCGTTTCGAGCGGGCAACTGGCGTGACGCTTGCCAAGTTCTGGGAGAACAGAGTTCAGGAAAAAGGGGAGGGGTACCACAAGAGGAAACCGGGGGGGGGGGTATCCAAGAGTTCAAATGACTTTTCTGATCATGAACACGTCAAACACATATTATTTTTTTATCTAGACCAGCCAGATACAATAAATATAGTAACCGAAGAGTCTCGCCGGATCCTGGGCAGGGCATTGGGTGAGTGGGTAGAACCCCCTCCTTTACATCCCGCCACCCTAACGCCACCTGTGGTTTTTGCTTGGTTCTCTCTTGATGTAGGTTTATTCTCGCCTCCTTTTTTATTGGAACAGTGATTAATGCATAAAGAGAAATCTTTGCTTAACTTCACGTCTTCTGTGCATATGTGCCTCCCCTTGGCTTCCCCACCCCAGCCCCCCCACCTTCCAGGGCCACTGGGCATTGCAACCCCACCCCACCCCCCTTCTTGCTCACTTCCCCGCTCTAAAAACCCTCCTTGCTTTCTCTTCCTCTTGGGAGTGGCTAAGGCACCGCTGCCGAAATTCTGCAAACCAGCGGTTGTTCGGGGAAGAGGCTGGGGGATGCGCCAGACCCATCCCCGTAAGCGTTTCAGCCTGTTCTGCCATTCCTCTCCTTTCTCCCCCTCCTTCCTGGTTGCTCTGCCCCAAACTTGTTGTGCGTCTGGCAGCCCCTATTCCTCCCCCCATCTCAGACTGTGCTTTCCAGCATCCACTCCGTGCTGCTAAAAGTAACCCGTCTGTGACTCAAGGGACGCTCCTCCGAGTTCAACTGAGAGCTGGACATGTGTCTTTTTGTCCGTGCGCGGCGGGGATAGCTGTGACTCTGGAAGAGCGAGTAATCCCCATCGAAAGAATGGCGGTGGTGGTGAGTCCTGGACAGCTCACGAGGGAAAGCCCCCGACTCGCTGCTGCCCGATTTGACACGGAGCTGTAGGGCCCCCCCATGGTCTTTGAGGAGGCACAGGGAGACGGACGAGCCGGCCCGCCTGACCTCCATCTGTCCTTCTTCAGAAGTCAAGACAGCCACTGTTTGGAGGTCAGCGGCCATCTGAGCTGCCCTCTTATCTGGCTCAGTCAAGGGGACGTCCTGCCCAGGGGGGGCATCGAACTTGGCTTCCCCACTGAACCTGGGGTCCTTGGAAGCAATCTCGTGGAGAGTTTCGTATTTGTCCTCCCCGACTTTGGAGGCCGAGTGGGGTAACGCGGTTGCGGTGGGCGGCTGGCTCCCGTTGGTCTGCGAGTAGACGTTGCTGACTCTGGCTTTCTTCTGCTCGTCTTGGCCACTGTAGACCTTGTATCGGATCATGAGGATGATGATGAAGACCAGCACCGAGGCCACGATGATGCCCCCGATGATGATGATCATGGTCCCCCCCAGGAACTGGGTGTGGAGCGAGTGGCACTGCGCGCCCTCCCCCTCAGTGGTGAATTGCACGCAACCCACCACCCGCGTCGCTGTGAGGGATGTCACACCATCGTCATACACCGCCAAGACGCACAGGTCGTACTCCCGGCCTGCTGCCAAGTCATTCACCAAGAAGGTCTTGCTGGATGAGGGAATCATCCTGTGAGGGCCAGAGAATGGGAGTGAGACCACCATGGATGAAAAGCCACAACGCGCTCTAGTCCTCAGCCTCTCCTCTCAAGTCATTGGGGAAGGAAACCGTGCGTGTTAGGTCTCCCTCCGTTGCTTCTGTTAACATCTCGTGCCAGTCTTAATCTACACCTGCCTCCCCCAAGCTGTTTGCTACAGATGTGTCTGGGTATACAGTTCCCATCCCCCCCGCCCTGTTGGAGGACACCTGGATTTCGATGACAGGAATGGGGAGGGTCTCGGCTGCTCCTGGCCATTTGGCTCTTAGCGGGTCGCCCTACTTCCTTCTGGCCCTGGGACTGGGGAGTGGACGGCTCCTCGCAAGGATTGGAAGCCTGTTTCTGAGTGTCTCATGGGGCTTCTTGAATCAGATTCACTTTTTCCCCTCTACAGTAGGCAGTCATATGCTTGGGGGCACAGGGATGGACCCCAGAAGAGACAGGGATGCAAGCCAAGCCCACTTACTGGCCTTCTCCCGTTAGGGCAGTTTCTGTGGCAAACTATTTTAGCAGAGCAGCTGTGCATTTTCCCACCTGCCTACCTGGAAGACCCTTATCTCTTGCACGAGTTCCACCCTGAGGGACCTTTTCTCCTACACTGCACTAGAACCACTCCTGGCAGAAATGCCCAGCGGCTCGACAGGCCAAGATGCAAATGATCCAGGGAAAGATTTGGCCAAGAAGCAGGGGCTGGGTGAGTGGTCCGTGGCCCACGAGGATGGCCCTTCTGCCGAGCAGTCAATTAGCAGGCGGGGGGTGCAGACACAGAAGAGCAGGAGGCAATTAGCCGAGAATCACAGGACCGTGCAACCAACAGCTGCAATTTTCTGGGGGTGGGATGGGGAACACAGAACAACTTGGCTTGGGGGCAAATCACGTGGGGCAGTGTCAACGCAGAGGAAAGACAAATTGATCAGATCTTGGCAAGCGCTGGAACTATCCTGCTGGCAGCAAGAATGGCCAGCCACTGCTGACTGGGAAAGACCCCAGTGAAGCCTCACCAGGACTCAGGGCTCATTTTCTGCTGCCAGAGCAACGCCGGCTTGGAACCAGGAGGTTAATCACCCGGAGAAAACGTGCCACGTTCCTTCTTGCCCTCTGAGGCCTGCATCCAAGCTTCCCCATCGTCACAGTTGTGAGATCAGGGCTCTTCCTACCCAGTCTGAGTTGCCTTGAACCCAGCACACTGCAGCACCTCAAGGGGCTTTGCCTACACGTCAGCAGCTGCACAGGAGTGGACCATCTTTTCCTGGCGTCCTGCGCTTTTGGACACCTTGTGCAAAAAGGAGTGCAGAGATCGCCCACATCTACGCTGCAGCCTGCAGAAACGGAGTAGGGAACGCTTTCTTCGAGGGTAGAAACGGAGGCGGAAGGGGGGAGAGGGGGAAGCCTCACCTGAGGTGTTAGAGCAGCCCTGCCGGATTTGTCCGGCACCTGTCCCAAGGTCAGTGGCCAGGTGCCCCAGGAAGTGCAACAGTGGAACTCTCCCCCCAACACTGGTACTCAGAGATAGACCACCCCTGTTCACAGAGGCGCTTTTGTGCTATGACACCCAAATGCCAAATGCATTCCAACCGTTGTTCAGCGCCTGGGAGCAGAGGCGAAGGAGCGTTTAGCAATTCTACCTGCTGTTTTTTTTTCTTAAAAGGAATCTGCTACTCATTCAGAGTTCACCCGGTTGTACTGGGTGCTTGGGAAACCTTAACTCAGTTTCCATGGCACAAGGGTGGCCTTGTCCACAATTGTTAGGAAGGCAAGGTCCAAACTAGGAGCATGTGCAGAGTGCCAGCTCCTGTTAAGGAGTGTGCAACCTTTTTTGCCTTGAACGATTATCACCCTAGAACAGCGTTTGTCAACCTCGGCAACTTTAAGATGCTGTGGACTAATGCTGGCTGGAGAATTCTGGGAGTTGAAGTCTACGCATCTTCAAGTTGCCAAGGTTGAGAATGCTGCCCTAGAACTGCAAAGCAGGGGTTGGAGGGTAGATGGGACTCAACTTGGAGCCCACTTCAAACAGTTGCCCAGGTACAAAACAAGATCTCATTCTGAGAAACCCAAAGCTTGAAGTTTTTTTTATCAAATATTGGGGAAGGGGGAGAAAGATCAACAAACAACCCTTTAGAAGCCCTCCCCCAGAGCACGTCCTCCCCTTTTCTTTCAGACAGCAATGGCACCATTTTTCTTACTCCTCGTTTCAGAGCTAAAAGGCTTCCACAGTGGGAAAGGAAGAAAATCCGTTCTCCACGTGCCGGTAAGCCAACCTCGTGTAGGAGGGAGAGCAGCAGAGAAGGTGTGTTGAGGTTGTGGGAACTACTGGAATCCCACGCACCAGACAACTGGCTTTTTCCAACCTTGATAGCCCACGACTTCGACCTGCAACAGCTGATGGAGTACCAGGAACACAGATTGGGCATTGCGAGAACTGGGTTCCAACATGCCAGCAGACGGCCTCTCAGGAGGATGTGCTTGATTCTGGAGATTCTCCACCCCTCCATTCTTGCTCCAGCTCAAGGCCGGCGCAGCATCCTGGGTCTCCCCCCCTGCTTGGAAAGGGACGGGCCTTTCTGGCTGCTCGGCTACCTCCCCATTTCCCCTCTTCCCTCCAGGTTCCTTCCATTCAGCATCGCACCCGTTTCTCCCACAGACGTCTGCTGAGGAGGGGCACTGGGTGGGCACCCAGTTCCCTCTTGCCCCAGAGGTGAGAGGCAGGAGGGTGCAGCTGTCACAGGAGGAGGACAACTCACACAGACACAAAGCAGGGAGCAGAAAATGCGCAGCAAATGGGGAAAAGCCATAAATACATGCCTTTGTGGGTGCCCTGCCCTTTAATGTGAGTCAATCTGCACCTGACTCATTCTGAATGGTCACTGCATCACTGCTGCATTCACACCTCTCAGATCAGAGCTAGGAGGTCTTCACCTTGCAGGTGAACCTTGAAGGCACATGCCTTGACTTTTTAAAAGGAAGAGATTCCTGGAGTGTTACGTTGATCATCAAACAACCAAATCAGTTGTTGGCCACTTTCTTGAATTGTCTTTCCCTCTTCGGACCCACAAGACTCTTTCTTGGAGTATCCCTGAACTTGGAAACTCCTGGGATTTCTCCACTTGCCCCCTCCTTCCTCCTCATAACCCTGCCTCTTCTCACATACACATGCTACTCTACCTTGCTCCTGCATTAATTCACATTCATTAGTTCTACACGTGCAATCACATTTGTTCCCATCCTATCCCTTTACGCCTCTTCCCATGTCTCTTTATCTCCCACCTGAGACTACAAACAGAAACTCATTTCTCCTCTTTGTGACTCAGACGGCAGGACTGATATTTACCTAGAAGACATGCAAAACTGCATATCCAAAGAGCTAGGAATGTTTGGGTCCCACCCTAACGTGGGCACTGTCAAACCTCAGGAGCCGTGAGATATTAAACCAGGGGCCTTGCAGGCTGCAATCACAGAGTTGCATGCAGAACCAAATGACCTATTTACTGTAAGGCTGATTCTTCTCGCTCACCTGTAGACCAAAGAGTCATCCAAGGAACTGTTATACTGGATCTGGTACATACGAATGCCAGGGATGTGCCGTTCCGAGGGCCAATGGATGACCACGGAAGTGGACGTTAGGTCAGCGGCTATAATCTTTCTGTCTTGGTGATTCTTGGTTTCGTTGGTGCCCGATTTGGCAGAGGTGGTGATGTCGGACGAGCCAGGATCAGGTTCTTTCATGTGGCCAGTGTTGTTAACTAACAAGGGCAGAGGTACAATACAGATTTCTACAGGGGCGGTGGCCTCTCCTGCAGCATTGGAGGCGATACAGGTGAAGACACCATTGTCCTTTAAGGTAGTAATGAAGATGTCCAATGTGCCATTGTCATAGATGGTTGCACGGGTGGTATTGTGAATTAACTTGCCATCAGGTGCAATCCAATGGATGGAAGGTTCTGGGTCACCCACTGCTTTGCATTTGAGGCTCACACCTTGGCCTTCCATGATGAACGCCTTGCTGGAATACTGGCGGGTGATGAGTGGAGGTTCACAGATAAACTCCTCTTCGGGGATCGACCAAAAATACTTATCCATCAAATGTTCTGGGGAGGCACAGGTTTCCAGATCATCCTCCCGCGTGAGTCTCCGGAGCCAGAGAAGCTCACAGTTGCAGTGCAGTGGGTTGCCCCCAAAGCTGATGGTCAAGGTGGAAGGGTGAGTCCCACGGACATTGGCCAGCACTTGAGCCCTCAAGAAGAGGTTGTCTGGGGGCAGCTTCTGTAGCCGGTTAGATGTCATGTCTAACCGTACCAGCTTCTGGAGCTGGGAGAAAGTGCCCTCAGCAATATGGTCAATGAGGTTGTGGTCTAGAGTGAGCGTGTTGAGACTCACCATCTGGCCAATGGCCTCCCACGGCAAGGCCTCCAAGTTGTTATAGGAGAGGTCCAGGTCTTCCACGGTGGAGAGGAACTCATCAAAACACGAAGGCTCAATGAGACTGATCTGATTGTTCCCCAGGATGAGGTGACGGAGGTTGCCCAGGCCCCGGAAGTGCTCGTTCTTCAGGACAGCCAAACGATTACTGTTCATGTGCAAGGCCCGTAAGGCACGCAGGTCAGCGAAGGCGTAGGGCAGGATCTGGCTGATCGTGTTCCGGGAGAGGGTGAGGTGCACCAAGTTGGTCATGTTGGAGAAGTCCTTCCGGCGAATGACGGTGATGAAGTTGTCCGTCAGGCGCAGCTCCACCGTGCGCCGGTCAATGGTTGGTGGCACGAACAGGAGGCCCGTCTTGGCACATAGCATGGTCAACGTTGGGGAGATGTTCTGGCAGATGCAGCGGCCGGGGCAGTGCTGAGCTTTCGCCATGGTGCCAAGCATCAGAAGAGGCAAGAAAAGCTTTTCCATGATACTGGCACGCTCCGTACCTGGGGAGGCCCTGGGGATGAAATTAACAGCAAGAGATAAAAAATGTGGCTGGACTGCATCTCTCCCCCTTACTCTCGCCAGGCTACATTTCTCAGAGCTTCCCGGGGCTGTCCTAAACCCAAATGATTTGGGATAAAATGAGAGCTAGCTGTCCCGAGCCCTAATTTTAGGGAATGCGCTGCTACCCACGAGAACTCAAGAGCACCAGAAGGCTTTAAAAGGGGCCTCGACACGTCCACGGAGGAAGGGGAAATCTATCCGCAGCTTTATGAAAAAGGCAGCACGTCTCTGAACTGTCAGTTGCTGGAGAGCAACAGTGGCGCCCGAACACACTAATCACATCATGGCTTCGTATCCTGGTCTGTTTCACAGCACACGTTTGGATGATGGCAGGCCTCCCGCCAACCGCCAGCCCCATTTTAGCTTGGCCTGTGTGGTGGATGAACAAGCCTTGAAATGGGCGATGTCCAGACGTTCATCCCCAGCTGACAACCGAGAAGCCGCTGGAACAGTCGCGACAGTGTCAGAGGCCACCTGATTGGGATCCATACCTGGAATTAACTTCAGGAAAGCAGGTGCCTTCCTGTTGATTATCACTCAGAAATCAACCAAGGGCTATTTTGTTAAAAAAAGAAAAATCTGACACAATCAAGTGATATTTTCAAAAACAGTTGCCTTTGCACAAGCGATGGATGAAGGCACTAAATATCAGGCATTTTAGCAGCAGGATTTTTATGCAACAGCACGTTTTATGGGCTTTAAAAAGGACTTGCTTCTTCTCTGTTTTGGGGGGCTGATTTTTCTAAATTCCCCACGTATCGCTAATGAAGAAACTTGCACTGTTTTAGAAGGAGAGATCCAGGGGCTCTCGTATGAGGTGTTTTCAAAGTTGATGATGGAAAGAAAAAACAAAGCGAGGGTAATTGTTATGTTTCTTTAACAATGCTTAGAGGACAAAAAAGCCCTCTCAAGACAGCTTATCATGTTCATAAAATATCGATAATGAAGCGAAAGTGCTATTAACAACTTAATAACTAATAAAAGACAAAGAATGCCTAAATCAAGCCAAGCTTTTCAGTCCAAAACATATATTTTTCACTAAGTGGCCCCATAAAATCTTGAGGAGAGGGCTGCTGAGAGTCGACACCCTTTCAAATTCATTTTGAAAGATTATAAAGACGGGGCAACTCTTTTTTCTAAAGGCACAAACGGGACAGATGAAGCTCTGCCCCTTTTGACACCCACCACACATTTTAAAAGGGAGAGCAGCTTTGAACAGTTGCAGCTGTGCAATCTTGGTGTCTTCACTCTCTCTCTCTCTCACACACACACACACACGCGCGCGCAGATGCCCCAGGTCACAGCTCAGTCAAACACTATTCCAGGAAGACCAACCGTGCTCGGGACCACCTGAGTTTCCCCCGTTATTGCTACGAACCTCTCTGTTCTCCTGACTGGTGCATTTTTGGAGTTGCATTATCAGCACATCTGTGTTCTTCCAGAACACCAATTTGCTCCTGGGGCTTCAGAGCAGTGTTTCTCAGCCGTGGCAGCTTGAAGATGTATGGACTTCCACTCCCAGAATTCCCCAGCCAGCATGGAATCCATACATCTTCAAGCTGCCAGGGCTGAGAAACGCTGCTTTAGAAGATCCAGATTAGTTTCAGAGCAACACGGAGGATGCCTGACTTCACTTCAGCCGAATCCCAAATCCATCATCTGAACTGCTTATCCAAGGTTGGCTGTAGACAGATGCTTACCTCGGACGCACAGAGAACGCCCGTTACCCAGGCTAGAAGGAATGATTCATGGGGTGGCGGGTGAGGGAAGCGAGGAATCCCCAACTGCAGGACTACTAACCCACAAGGACGACACTTTCCAGAGAGGCTCGCCGAGATGTGCAGAACATGCAATTCCCACAAATTTGCCGGCTGAGCTCCTGCTGATGTCACGGAACATTCTCAGAAGATCGAGAAAGGAACCAGTGTCGGCAGACAGCGCGCTTTTTGGCACGAAGCAAAACAGATTACGCTGGGTATTTTGTCACTGAGCTCTCTGTGTGCCTCTGTGCACAGGTTGAGGAAAGCCGCGTAGCCCCCTCCCGCCCGCCCTCCCATTCCCTCCGCCATTGTCTCCAGCATTTCCTCCTCCTCCTCCTGGGTTCACCGATGGTGGGCTGTATCAAAGAACACCAATTTCACATCCCTCTCGAGATCCTTTCTGCAAGAAGGCGCTTCAAAGGTGCTTTGCGAGGGGATGGTGGAGAACCAAGTGGCAGGCTGCAAACAGATGCCCCCAGGAGCCCCCTGCAACCAGAGGGAAGTGTGCGCGATGGCGCGGCTACTTAAGAGGTGCATGCCGGAATGCATTGCAACACTGCATCCTGAGCTCAAAGAAAGTCCCGTTTTTTTCAGCTGCACCCAAGGGCTAAATGAAGGTAATGGTGCAGCCCCCCATGGGCACATTCACCAGGAACTCGCTCCAGGCAAGTTGCATTATGCAGAAAGGCAACGTCCTGGCCTGGCAGCACAACACGTCGCTTTTCCACAGGGGGGACCAGCTAAGCAGTCAGCAGCACTGCAGGGTGTGGGTGTGGGGGGCTGCTTAGGACAGCAGAATTCCCGGGGAGGGGTCATCAGCTCCCTTTTCCTCATTCCAGAGAACCCAACGAAGCAAAAGTCTTTTCCCTCTCTTACTTCCGCTCAGACGAGCGGAATTGGAAAACCCTTCCGAGGAACATGGGCTCCCTGAAATTAGATCGGCCCAGGAGATGAGAAGATGGGATGGCAATTTTCTTCCCCACTGTAGCAAGATCATTTGAGCCCACCGTCAAGATAATCAGCTCCTGGAAAGCTGCAACCTGTGCACCTTTTGCGAGGGTTTGCAAGAGAGGTTTGTTGCCCGCAGTCCGCCGTGCAAGGGCGGGTGTGGAGAAGGCGGTGTTTCAAGGGGACGGAGGCACCTCTGGGTCTACAGAGATGCAAGATGGCCCCTCTCAGCTCATCTGCAGGGGCCTGTTGCCTTCCACAACCTGCACCCTGCCAGGTAGGTTGATTAATGTAACTGGAATCAGCTCTGCTGTCAATCCACAGTCGCTCTGGCCCATCCTGCCTTCTTTTTGGACCTGATGGCCCTTCCGCAGAAAAACCCCATGCATTCTCAGTCTGAAAGATCTGGACAGAACTTCACATGATGCTAAAGAAGATGATACAGTATACTTCCTTTTCGGTAAGGGATTTCTCTTGCCTCCTTCCTGAATTTTTGGCTAGAGCTGGTGGGGAGCTGAGCCCCAGATAGAGGCAGGCTTTCCTCCCACACGTTGCTCTCCTTTGCGCCTCAGCTCCAGAGCACAACCAGGTCCCCTGTCTGTTGACCTTCACCATGAATTGCTTTATGGACATCCAGCTGCAGCTGCTGACTCCATTCTCCAGGTAGCCTTGGAGCTCCCCCCCCACCAAGAGCAGATGGGAGGCTGGGTGGGCTGGTGGGAGCCATGCCAGGGGTGTGTGGGGAACATCCTTTGGATGGTTTCCAGAGTGCTCTGCCTGGAACCTTCTGGAGCCAAGGAGTGGGCTCTTGACATGCGCAACGGGGTCTCAGAATCTGGAGAGAAGCAGGTGGGCCTGTCCTTCACTCCCAAGTGGGGTGTTGTTTTGACCACAACTGGGAGAATAACCAGGTGGAGAGAGGATGGTGGGGAAGGTGGCTTCTCCTGCACACAGCCTGCCTTTTTTCTCAGTGCCAAGAGCCTAGTCCTGATTAGGCTGAAAGTTCATGTCCTCTTTTCCTGCTCATTACGTTCCCCCTCTATCTCCTCCTTCTATCAGAGGAAGCAATGCACGGGGTGGGTGCACATGTGTGTCTTGCATCAAAAAGTTGCTTGCCAGCCTGTCTTTTCGCAACCCTCCCAATCAGAGATCCAGAGGGAAGTTAATCAGGTGGAAAAGGCAGAAAGTTCAGTTGTGCCATTTTTCTGGTCCAGCAAAGCAACATGTGGATTCTTAGATGCAGACTGCTCTTTGGTGGCGGGGAAATGGGATCTGCATTTGGACTATTTGCACGAGAAGTTGAGCTGCAGAAAGTTCAGTGACTGGGGCATCCTGGGGGGCGGGTAAAAAAGGCAAAGCAAAGCAGGTGGCAGCCACAACCCAAGTGCCCAATCAAAACCCAGCATGCATGGAAAGAGAGGGGAGCTTTGGTTCCTGCTTTGTGGCTGCCATCTTGACTTTTTTGACTCTCTGACTTCTGTTCAGTAAAGCTGGAGGACTGGCCCAAAACCCATGAGGATTTCAAGTGCTGGATAAACTGCATAGATAATAAACCAAGAAACAAAACTCTGCAATTCACAGGACACCACTATCACCACGAGCCGGGCTGCATCTCAGCCTGCCCGCTGCTGGCTGAGAATTACGGAGCTGATGCAAGCCACTCCGGGAAAGGCCACTCTGGAGGCCCCTTTTATCCCCGTGGGGCTTATGTACATGGTGCCTGTGCTGCTGCAGTCAAGGCTGACTCCGAGAGGCTTACGTACGCGATTTGCGTAGATCGAATTAAAAAGCGCAAAGCCTAAAGCAGGATAACGGGATAATCGAAGACACGGTGCCCGAGACAAGTAAGACTCTGCATTCGTTAGGCTCCGGATTAGAGGAGGGGGCAGCGCACCCCATCCCCCCCCCGAGGCCTGCTGAAAAAGCCAGGGGCTGCATCCCAGCGGGGAGGGGTCTATTCCAAAGAGGGGGCAGCAAAATGGAAAAGGCTGGTGGTGCACAAGGTCCTGCTGGGGGTGGGGTGAGAGAAAGACCTGGGGGGGGCTATCCTCGACTTCAAGGCCCCCCAGCCCTGGAAGGTTCCTATATCAGCCGGCTTCCAGGAAGTGGAATCCGAGGTTCGCTCGGGCTCCTCTCATTAGCAGCCCTCGTTAGCAGCAGTGGGTTGACTGAGCGACAGCAATTACTGGGCAGAAGCTGAGGAGAAGATAACAGCAAGACTCATTTAAAAGACCCACAGGAA